GGAGACCGAGTAGCACAGCTATAAACAATGGGAGAACCGGAAGCACGGAGGCAAGTGGGAGGATGGCTGGCCTGGCTTTAACCCGAGTTAAAGGTTATCTGGAAATCCCACTGGTTCTGGGGCGGCCCTCCTGAGTCTTACGCTGGAGTAAAGAGGTGGCAACTGTTCCTAGTCAGTTACCAGGTCACAGAATCACGAGCCTTGAAGGTCTTCTTGTCTCCAATGTATACCTGGAGATTGTTTTAACAAATGGTTAGAAGCAGTCCTCGCTTAACGACCATGTGAAGCTATAAGAGGGCTGAATGAATGGCACCTATGCCTGATCCTTGAACTTCCAAGTATTGCACAGCCCCAGTGGCCATGGGATCAGAATAGCAATAGCACTTAGGCCAGTGTTTCTCAACCTTGGTAGCTTGAAGATGGGTGGACTTCAACTCCCAGAATCCCCCAGCCAGCGCTGCTGGCTGGGGGATTCTGGGAGTTGAAGTCCACCCATCTTCAAGCTTCCAAGGTTGAGAAACACTGACTTAGGTTGAACTACCGCTTCACAGAGCTTCACAGCCCTCTCTGAGCGGTTTACAGAGTCAGCCTCTTGCCCCCAACAATCCGGGTCCTCGTTTTACCGACCTCGAAAAAGATGAAAGGCTGAATCAACCTTGAGCTGGTCAGGATCGAACTCCTGGCTGTAGGCAGACTTAGCCTACAATACTGCATTCTAACCACTGTGCCACCAGGGCTCTTGGAATTCTGTCCCTTGACAGCCAGCCTCATTTATGACTGCAGGGGGCACTTCAGCTGCCCCCAGCCCAACCTTTGGGCTGCCCTGCACTCTGGCCACCCCAGACTCGGCTTCCTACACACACACACACACACACACACATACACTGCTGGGCACCACTGTGGCCTTGACCTTCCACATCCTTTCTATTCCTCCTTCAGGCTCTGCTATTTCTCCAGTTTCTCATACTCCTTTTCTCCCTGATGTTGCTGTCACTTGGCACTACTCCGCCCATCACCTCCACTGTCTTCTGGGCCTTGTCTACTACCACAATGTCTGGTTGATTGGCCAGTGCCTGCCTGACTGCCTGGATCTGGAAGTCCCACAGGATCTTAGCTTTCGTATTCTCCATGATCTCCTGTGGGTTCTCCCATTTAAACCCAGGAGGATCTAGCCCAGTGTTTCTCAACCTTGGAAGGTTGAAGTCCACCCATCTTCAAGCTTCCAAGGTTGAGAAACACTGGGCTAGCCAATATTCTATACAGATGTTCCTGTACCCAATGCCAGCTACTTGGTTGGGTAAGTAGAGTGTATGCACCTTGGACTGTCTCTGAGGCCTCTCTGCACGGTCTGCACCCGGGATCCAGTCTAGTGTGGTAGATCCCTGATTCCATGAATCAGGTGCTTAGTGTCTGCTCTTGTGCTGCTATGATCAGGGCCTCAGTTCTCTTTTAATCCAGCCCTTTGCAGCTGCCGGTAGCATTTCCCAACGACTGCCATCTCACCCATCTGTCGATGGTACATTCCAGGCAGGTTCTCGTCTTGCCATGGCATGCCTTCTGCCTGATCTTCCTCCCACATCTGCTGCGGCCTCAGGCGTTCTCTCAGCAGCTCATCTTTGGGTGCCATCTTGCTGATGTCCTCTGGATGCCCCAATTTCATCCAGGACCATGGCTTTGAAACTCACCAGACTCTGACCATCGTCTTTCCAGCTGGACTTGGACTTGGGGTGGACACCTCCAAGTGGTATTGTTCACAATACCGACATGGTATCTGATGACTCTTCTCTCATTTGTGTTCCCATGTATCATTAGATTGCTCTGGTTCCTCAACATCTAATGAAGGCCTTGTTAATCCAGCATGGCTCTCCTATTTTGGGTCCCTCTCACATTTTAAGGTGAGTAGGTGAAGCCTCAGGGGGTCTCTGCTGGTAAGGCAGATAGCAGCCAGGATTTGAACCCCAGACTCCCGCACCAAAGGCAGCACTTTAATTACTACACTATCCAGCCCTGGGAAAGAGGTCAACTTTCAGAGACTCCCTTCTCCAATTTCCCCCCTTACAATTTTGGCAAAAATGCCAACACTGGGCTGAAAACAATCCCAAAAACTGATTTCAAGCAATGACAGAGAGGGAATTAAGCAAGTTTAACATCAAAACACATATACACCACACGGCCAAAACAAGCACAGACAAGACCCAACCATTTTGGAAATCACACATAAATTATTTTTCTGCTCAAAAGCAGGCAGGAGACCAAAAAGACCTGCCAAACAGAACCCATAGAAAATCAGAATTTGCCCATCGCCTCTATTCTCCAGTTGAGAAAGGCAGAACTTTTTCATATCACAGGTCCAACTACTCCCTATTCTAAGAGCCTTTGGCTTTTACAAATCTGTCCCAGCTGCCTTCAACTTAGACCTATTAAAGCTTCTGCGTTTCGTTCAGATTTTACCACAGAATTACAGCTGCACAGACTTGACTCTTCCTTTCCAGCATCAAGAACATGAACCAATTAAAATTGCACAGAGGTTGGTATTTCTTCAACGTCCTCAGGCACAGGCGTTCCTCTTTACATCTCTGGGCCTCTCGGATGGAAATCCAAAGAGCAGAGATAGCAACAGCACTAGCACTTAGACTTATATACTGATTCATGGTCCTTTTTACAGCCCTCCCTAAGCGGTTTACAGAATCAGCCTATTTCCCACAACAATCTGCGTCCTTATTTTACCCACCTCAGAAGGGTGGAAGGTTGAGTCAACCTTGAACTGGTCAGGATCGAACTGCTGGCAGTGAGTAGTGAGTTAGCCTGTCATCCTGCATTCTACACTGCACCATCATGGCTCCTATGCACATGTCCTCAATCAACAAGCATTGTAGTTTATTTGCCAAGTAACTAACACTGGTCCTTGGAATCATGGAATGCTTGGCCTCTCAACAGCCAACAGCATTCTGTCAAAGAGACACAAGGATCTCCTGTGATCCAAGAAGGCTGGCACTGCATGCGCCAAGCAAACATGCCCTTTGATCCCAGCCTCCAAAGGTTGAGGTGTTTTGCTTCAGACCAGGAAAAAAGCTTTCTACCCTTCCATCTGTCTTTGTTTGGGCCAGGAGAGATGAAACTGAAAAGAACAAAACCTGTCAATCAGCTAATGCTAGCAAGCACACCAAGTCCTCATCCAAGGTGTGTCTGCTGCTATTCAACCCTGGAAGAAATCAAGCATGGGCCTCACCTGCTACCCTCTTATCTTCAAAAGGACTGTGGGATAATGCTGGGCAGCTCCCCTGCTTGTCTACTTGGCTCGTTTTCCAGGGTGTCCTTCTTCCCCTCCAATCACCCATTTCACTTCCACAGCATTTTGTCTTTCCCAGAAACCCTGTGAGTTTCCTTGAGTGAGCAGTCAAAGGCTCCTATGCTCCCATTTCCTCTCTACACTCCCCAACCCTGGAAATAGCACTTTATCCTGGTGGCATCATGGCATCCATACCATTGAGCATTTCCTAGGTCTCCTTTGCAGCCCAGAAGTGGCTGCATCAACTTTTCTGAACAAAACCAAGTCCCACCCATCCCAGTGGGCCAGAACTCAACTTTTTAACCAACAGTTAAAAGTCCACAAAGATGTGACTTTTTCAAAAACCTCAACAAAATGTGCCAGTTTTCACGGAATAGGACAACTTGCCGCAGCCAACTCGCCATAGCCTTTTTGCCACAGTCAACTCACTGTAGACAAATCGCCACGACCAGCTCACTGACCATGGTGAGTTGTCCTGGAGCCCAGTTTTCAGTAGCTTTGCTTAGCTGGATCTACCACAATTGCTATCAGATTGAAATATGTCATCACTGCAGATCTCCTATGAAAAGTTAAGATGGTTGTATTTCGTATTATTTGTCCAGGATGTATATGGCCAGTGCTACTGGAGTCAGTTTTGGCAAATCTCATTAAGCAAATTTACATTCTTATGCTACTTTGACTGCACTGACTTTCTTGCTGAAATCTCAGCCTGGAATTCTGCCTCCTGGTTCCCTTCTTTGCAAGGCTGCCATTTTCTGCCCACATCACTTCTGTAGGCCATGCAAAAGAGCTTCCCGGACATTAGCACCAGCACGGAAAAAGTCTTCAGAGGATTTTCTCTGGCATCAACTTTCACATGGAATGAAGCAGGTGCAAAAAAAGATCTTTATTCTGAGGCTTTAAATGGGTTTAACGCCTTTCCCCCTCCTTCTCTCGTAATCATCTAATGATGCAGGGTATTTTGTTAAGCTTCCTCTACTACACGGGTAAAAAATTTTTTGCCATAAACTGGCTATATAAATCTTGAAAGTGAAATCAAAGCTACTTTGGAGACTCCAATGTTGGAACCAGTTTCTGAACACCAGCTTCTCCTATACCGGCTCTGCGCCCCAACTTTCTTCTGCTCTTTCAAAGGCTTCCTAGCTAGAACATCTCTCTTGCCTGAAATGATAGCACTGAAGGCATTTCCAAAATTCCCTCCTCCTACCCCTTTATGTCTTTTCAGCGCTTTGTATTTTACAATTGCTGCCTTCTGAGTTTTTATTTAGCTTCCTGAATCAAGGCAATTTAAACCCGCGAGGGGGGGGAGATTCTTAATTTTACACCATGCAGAGAGAGGGGCAGCCAATCCCTCTTATCAGTCAGGTGCTCCTCTATTTGGGGACAAGGGCTGCAGCCACTCTGCTGAAACAACGAGGAGCCTCTGCTCATTTGGAAGCAGTAGTTTGGGGAAAGGACAGCTACGGATGGTACTTTAGGCCAAAAACATCTGGAACGCGAAGGAGTTCCACAAAGAGCTTCAACTGAACCTCTCCAGGTCCCTGGTCATTCTGGGAAGGACCCAAGTCACTCAAGGCCCCTAAAGGTCATCTCCTACCATGACACCAAGCTCAAGTCCAGATCATTCTATAGGTCTCCCCATCTTCGCCCCAAGGATCTCAGAGAACCCGCACTTGTCCTGGAAGGCACCCAGAGCGCCCGCACAACTCACCCTGTCCCACTTTCATGATGATCTTCATGGAGCGCGTTTGGCACACCCCGCCTTCTCTGTTCTCCAAGCCCTCAAGGGACCCGTTGGACGTGGCTGCAAAGAGAGAGAAAAAAAGGCATCAGGGCTGTGGAAAGCGAGGAGGACGACAGTGCAATGCCGAGGGACCCTCCTCCACCCACAGTGCACGAGAGGCAAGGTGAACGGTGGGCCTGAGGGCCTCTCCCCACACACCCCGCCCAGAGCTGCCATGACTCCGTCTGGGGAAGGTTGTCCCACGTAGGTAGGCTTGCTCTCATCCAGAGTGGCCCATCACGGTGGCTATTCCCTCTTTAAAATGCTAAAGGGGTCAAAAAGAGGGAAAGTGACTAACATCTATAGTTGATCCTGGCCCTCCCCACTCCCACTTTCCCAAGGGGCTGCCAGTTCTGCAGGGGGAGGTTGGACCAGTCCTGCCCAAAGCGGCTGCTGGTTCCTAGAGCCTCAGCATCCCTCCAGCTCAGAGGCCCCAGATTTAGTTTTTCATTTGTATTCCATTTCTGTGAGGCCCACCTTGTCCAGAGATGACTCTGAGCAGCTTACAAACAATAAAACTACTAAACATTAAAATAATAAAGCAAAAAAGTAAAAACAGAAATAAATGCTGTTCAAAAGGCACAAAGAGGAAGACAAAGTACCCAGGGAAGAGGTGGGTCTTTCCTAATCCAGAAGGGGGCAGACCCTTTGGACCCCTAGGCCCCCTGGCCAAGCTGGGTCTTTAGCTCTTTTGGAAGGCCAAACAGGGAGGGGGGGAGGCGGTCAGATCTCCCAAGATTGGGAGAAAGGTGACACTTCCCATTATGGAGACCCTGCTTGTCCTGCTGCTGTCAGGGCACTCATGGTGCGGGAAGAAAAGCCTCCACACACACATACACAGAGCCTTCAGCCCCCGCTGCCCCCCCCCCCAAGGGATTAGGACAGTCCCCGGGAGGGCATGCCAAAAAGAGCAGGTCCTTTTGTGTCTCTCCCTCCACTTAACAAGCTCTCTCTTAAAATAGGCAAGAAGGGGAGGGGGGGAGGCAGGCTCTGGCTGCCTTCCTGCCCCCTTTCTATCCATTGTGCAGATCTTGGGGGGGGAGGTGGAGGGGCTGGCCTCCTCTGCTCCCCTCAGAACCCAACCTAATTAGCAGTGCAGCACAGGCAGACCCCCCCCCCCCAAAGTCTGGGGGAGAATAAAGGGGCCCTGGGTGGGGCACAGACAAGGCAGAGAGGGAGGAACTTCTCCCACCCCACCCCATTACCACCAGGATCCTGAAAAGAAAAACCCCTCCCCCATCAGAAGCCCCCAAAGGCATGTCTCTTGTGTGTGGAGTTGGGTGACCCTAGGAGTTGTACTTAACAGAGCAACAGAGCTGGAATGGGTCTTGGAGGTCATCCAGTCCAGCCCCCTGCTTAAGTAGGAGACTCTAAACTTTTGCTTCAGCGCCCTTAATTTAAAGTAAGATGCAACCAATCAAAATCAAAACAGGACGGAGACAGGATGCCAAAACGTTTCAATAAGAGGCTGGCAAACAGGGCTACGAAGCCATTGGAGATGAAAGGGGAAGTTTTATGGCTGTTACACGTGAAGGCCCAGACAATGAATCTGCCTTCAGGAGGTCCTGCCAGGTGCAACATGGGCGCTTCCGATGAATCCAGATCACCACAGAGCCTGTATTTCACAACAGGTTCTCCGTGGGCACCTACGTACGTACAGTATCTCTGGAAGAGAAGCACTGAACCGCACAAAAAAAGAGCTTTTAAAAAGAGAACGAGAGTTTAGCCTCCCTCCCCTACGGAGCTTCATCCAAGGACCATGCAATTTCGCAGGATCTGGATCTTGAAAGCAGCAGCCGTAGCCCACCAGAGGAGATCACACCTGGGCACGAAAAGATTGCTGACCCTTCCTCCACAGGGCAGTTTAAGAAAGGCCTCCCCAGGAGGCCTTGACTGCTGCTTCAGCAACCGTGGAGCACAAATATTTGGCGCATGAGGAAGGCGTAAGGACGGGGCTTTGAAGGCACCAGAAAGGGGAGGCCAGGCCTGCTTTTTCCTTGCTCCAGGCGCAGCTCAGTGCGGCCCTTGCGTAACGGCCTAATTTTAACTAGTGCAAATCCACATGTGCCAGACACACAAAGGCTGCTTCGTGCAGCTTCCTCTTGCCCGTCTTCTGGGCAACTGTGGGCTGCAGAGCAATGAGGACCCTGAGGGCAGAAGCAGGGTCCAGGCAAGACCTCCTGACTTCAAAGTCGGGTTTTGGATGGGGAAAAGGGAGATCAAAACAGAGGAGGGAGAGGGAGGGGAGATGAAAAGGAGAACAGCTAGCAGACCCCCCCTAAAATGATAAGTGAAACCGTGCAACTCTCTTTCCTCCCCATGAATACAACTAATGAATTCATAGTTGAGTGCGGCCGCGCAGGTGGTTATGGGAGCAACATGGCGCTCCCATGTGACACCTCTCCTGCGCGAGCTGCACTGGCTTCCAGTGGTCTTCCGGGTGCGCTTCAAGGTTTTGGTTACCACCTTTAGAGCGCTCCATGGCTTAGGACCTGGCTACTTACGGGACCGCCTACTACCACAAGCAGCCTCCCACCGGCCGGTACGCTCTCATAGAGAGGGGCTCCTCCGGGTGCCGTCAGCTATATCAACTGGCGGCCCCCAGGGGGAGGGCCTTCTCTGTGGGGGCACCCACTATCTGGAATGAGCTCCCCCCAGAGATATGGAGGATCCCGGATCTATGCACTTTCCGCCGTGCTCTTAAGATTCTCCTATTTCAGCAAGCCGGCCTGGCCTAATTTTCTCCCCTGTTTTAAAAAATTTTTAAATCGAAATTTTAATCTGTTTTAAATTATTGGGATTTTTTAATTGTCTCGGGCTAAATTATTTAATCTGGTTTTAATTATGTCTTTTAACTTTTGTATCTATGTATTTTATTCTGTGCCTGTTACCGCCCTGAGTCCTTCAGGAGTAGGGCGGTATATAAATCTAATAAAACATAAAACAAACATAAAACATAGGTGGTCATGGGTGGCAAAAGGCCCCAAACACCCCCTCCCCCAATATCTCACTCTCGGCTTATTTTTCTCAGCCCTCCCGGTCAGCTGGTCACTTCTCTCTTCTCTTGTTGCTTCTCCTCAATGAAAGCTTCTCCATTTTCAGAGGCTCCCAATTTCATCTATTATCCTCGCTATCATTTCCAAGTCTGTAGACACCCCAAAGATGCAGACCTATGGCCCCATACCACAGTAGGTCAGCCCAACTCATGTCCGTTCTGCTGTCCCTGGGGAGGGGATAGGAGTGGCAGCTGGTCAGAACAAACCAGAATTCAGTCATTTCTCAGCCTCCTTCTAGACCAGTGTTTCTCAACCTTGGAAGCTTGAAGATGGGTGGACTTCAACTCCCAGAATCCCCCATCCAGCAGCCAGAAGTCCACCCATCTTCAAGCTTCCAAGGTTGAGAAACACTGGTCTAGACCTTCCCTGCTCTGCCTCGGAAGCCTTCTTGGCTTGCCCAGGCGAAAGGGGGGGGGTCGGGGTGCCAAAACTCCTCTGCTCCCCACTTTGCCAGCAACAGGGCCTCAATGGGGCTTAAAAACACCAAGCCACACCACCTCTTCATATATGGGGGACACATACAAATCCATGCAATTTCCAGGACTTTTTATTGATTGCTATGTAAATGACCACGCTGCCCATCTTGCTCTCCAAAATGACTCTGGGCGGTTTAGAATGTAATAAAATAGAAATATAGAAAAACAAAACCACACAGGATTAAGTGCAGTATTTACAAAAACCAGGGGCTCAAGCGGAGCAGGGGGGGTGCCTTCCCTGTCATTGCACCAACCCCCTCCCCAACCCAGAGTGCCTCCAGCCCCAGAGGCAGACGTAAAGGCCCTTCTGGAAGGCCAGAGTGGCAGGTGGGATGGATCAAGATGCTCCATAGAGGGGCAGCGGCGGCAGAAAAGCTGAAATTCCTGGACCAGCGAGCTCCACAGCAGGCCCTTTCTGCCCGAATAAGAGGGGCAGAGCAGTGCCATTGGGGCAGGAGAGTTGCTCAGGTGTTTCAGACCCATAAAGGACTTTAAAGGTGATGATAATCAACACCTCTGAATTGTACCTGGAAGCAGATCAGCAACCAGTGCAGCTCACTTAACAATGGTGTTACACAGGGGTGGGTTCTAAATTTTTTTACTACCAGTTCTGTGGGCGTGGCTTATTTTGGGGGTGTGGCTTGATGGTCATGTGACAATTCTTTAGGATTTAGCAGAGGTACTGGTCTACCAGGCTTTTAACTGCTTGCAGAGCTGTACTGGTCTACCCATTTATTTTTGCAGGCACCTGTCTACTCATTTGTTTTCTTTTAACACTGATCAGTTGTAGGACGGCCCTTTGAAGCCCCACGGCAAGAGTTTAAACAGTTTTTTTCCCTCTAGCCGATCAGCTGGGACTCAGAAGGCAGCAATAGATTGGGGGTGGGGCCAAATAAAAGGTAAGAATAACACAGGGGGGCGGGGGGGCAGAACCGGTTCGGTGACGTCATATCATCATCGCTACCGGCTCGGCAGAACCGGGCCGAACCGGGAGGAACCCACCACTGGTGTTACATGTGCCACAGGTGGGGCCTCCAGAACGTCCGTGCCACTGTGTGTCCTGAACCAACAAGTCTCTGAATACTCATCAAGGGTTGCCCCATGCAGAGCACATGGCAATAATCCAGACATGAGATGATCAAGGAATGAGTGACTGAGCACAAGATCCAGAAAAGGGCACAATAGGAAGCCGCACAAAGGCTTCCTAACCACAACCACCATTCCTGTTCTTTGACCAGGAATGGCAAATCTAGGATAACCCCCAAGTTGTGCACTGAGTCTGTCTTGGCCAGTGCAACCCTATCCAGAAGTAAGATGATAAAGGGCCCCACACCCACAGCTCCTCCAACTTATCAAGATTCAGCTGAAACTGTTGCCCCGTTTAGACCGCCACAGGCACCATGAAAGGGCAGCCACAGCATTACTTGGGCCACCCAGCATGGAGACATAAAGCGGAGTCCATTGGCATACTGATGATATCCCACCCTGT